GGAAAGAGATCAGCTCACTTTGATTTGTGCTGCTCTCTGAATCCCCGCACCCATGGATGTACTGGTCTGACCATAACTAAGTAGGAAATGAAGCTTTAGCCTGAAGCTAATCTTCAGCAAGAAGGTGGAGGAGCATTCCGATGTCTTGCATTGATTTTGATGAGGCCAGCGGCACTGGCTTTTGTGTCCAATGAATGCAACCAAAGTTTCAAGGAGTCTCCTCTATCCGAATCTGTAAAGACAGCTGTATTGAGGTTGACTGAGCCCACAGTAGGTACATACTTTACAATCGGCTTTGATGATCACATGTCATTGGAGTGCTGTTAGCCCGCAAAAGAATTTTGTTTTCTAACTTTAACGCTCTCTACCAATTAGCACTGCAGTCCACAGTGAGGTTAGCGTGATGAGTTTGAAAACAAAAACAGGAAAGTTAATTTTTTTGTAGGCACATGTATGCTATTTGGACTGGGAGTCACTTTTTTTTAGGCATCTGAGACATTTTCTAGTTCAAAGCAAAGTCGCTGACTTCATCACGACTCTCAGGCTAGTAAAAATGGAGCCCGGAATAGTAAACTGGTTCGGAGCTGAGGCAGAAAGAGGTGACCTCGGCCCTCTGACTTTTACTGCAAAACGATACGCAGCACAAATCCATGGCGCCTTTTTTCTCGGGGGTGGGGGGGTGGGTATGTGTCTGCATGTTGTGGTGCCACGGCTCACAGTGCGATAGATAGGGTGACGTCAGCACTGGCCACAGAGAGCCCTGCTTTCAGAATTCATCTTACACCAGGCGCCCCCCGAAAGGTGGGGATGGAACCGCAGCTCTTTATCCTGTTCTCCAAAATTGCTACACGGGGTCATAGCCCAGTGCTTTTGTTTGGGTTTCTTTTTCTGTTTTCACTTCTGGCTTTTCAAATATCTGTCATCCACGAGCACGCAGGTAGTCGAGCTGCTGCTGCATTGAAGGCTTGGGAACAGCTAACACGTGCTTGAATTTAAAGTTATAACAGACTACGTTTTCTTCAACGCAATCTGATAAAAGGGTTTTCAGAGGGCACTTGCCCCACCCGAGTCTTCCCCGCTGACATGTCATAACCAGGAGCTGGGAGTTTTGCATGTCCCTTTTCCCTTCAACAGTGCTCTCCACAGGCCCATTTGGTGATGAACTTGATTGTGACCAAGAGCCAGAGATCCTTGACATTGCTTGAGTTTTCCACTTACATTGTTTCTCGTTATCATTTTCATAAAAGACCACCACCTCGTTTTTTTAAAAAGCATTTTTTACATACATCATCTCATTGGAATGGTCTCAGTTGACCCTTTCTGAAACAGTCCTGGGTGGCAGATAAAACAGGTCCAGCCCCATTGGACAGATGAGGGGGGAAAGGTTATGGGTGAGCCAAAGAATTTGTTGAGGTCCCCGTGCGGTGTCAGACTTAAATTTTGGTTTCCTGATTATTTGTCTAAGATTCGTGTCTTCGTGCTCTCCTTCCCTGGTTCTCCACCAAAGAACTAGAGTCAGTTCCCTCCACCAAGGTCAAATAGAAACGTTCCATCCTGACGTCCCCTGCCTCTCCCCCACCTGCTGGATAATACAGGTGTCAGGAGTCCAACCTTTAGCCTTCCCCGTGGGCTGTCTTTGGCAGTGTGATTTATTCCTTGCTAAATGCAGAGCGACGCCTAGAAGTGTTGCTGCAACAACTTATGTACATTTCCATGCCAACCATGACCCTTCTAAATCTTTTTTTCATCCCCGAGACCTGTGGAGCCGGGCCTCAGTGCAGCCTGCGGATTAACTGTGCACAGTGGCTTTTCCATGTTTTCCCTGTCTGCCTTTTCTGGCAGGCACGGGTGTGGAAGCCGTGCCAGCATTTGGCCCGTAGTGCATGTCCTAAACAGTTATTTACACAGTTTGAGTCCATTTTAGTCAACTGGGTAAATAACAACCCTCTTCAAAAGATTTATAAATCCATAAATATGTCTTTATACATACCCAATAGACAGAAATAACTCAATCTGTCAAGAACATATCCAAAGAGGTGTTTTCCCCACAGACAGCAGTAATACATATTTTAAAACTTTCTCTACTGTATTATTTGTACTGCATTTCTTTTCTCCTCGTTCCTTTTCAATTTTCACCACTTCATTATGGCACCCGTGGTACAAAAGGAAGAAATCCTCGAGGCTTTGGTCCTCTGTTAAATAACCGTATCTGCCGCACAGTGTAGGCATATAACAGGCTATATATCTCGACTGAGTCCTGTTCTTTTGGACTTTCAAAGTAAATAAAGGAAAATAAGTCATCCAGGAAATTCGTAATGTTCTGAAAGATTTCAAAATACAGCAACAATTTCTAGTTAGCGTTGCAGCAATTTGGGGGATTTTGAGTGCCTGATAATTTGCCAAAGTAGTGGCTGTTGTGACTGATGGAATAGTTTTAGTAAAAAATTTTTGCCTAAGCATTAAAAAAAAATACCAAATTGAATCTTGGGCATGCTAAAGA